AGCCGTTTTACGAGCGAAACGCCGAAACGATACCATCCGAAATCATTATTTTCGGTATCTATGGCAATTCTATCTCACGTATGGTCAATGCTATAGAAAGTGCTTATCGATTAGGCCATCTGCCTCTTAAAATAAGCTCGCGAAAAGCTGTATTTAGCAAACAGCTGTCGGCCTGAGCAGAGATATAGAATTCTGCGATTTGAAGAAAATGGAACATCATTTTTCAATAACATATTCGATCGTTACGTTAGATCGCTAAAGAGTTTTTTAGCCGAATTTGCTATCCGATATAACACAGTTTCAAGTGAAATATGGGCAGAAGAAGATGGCGACGCAGAACTTAGAACTGACGATGAAGAAATTTCGAGATCGAAGTTTATAAAAATGAAGGACATTACCCGAATGCGAGTAAGAAATAAACCAGGTGTACTCCGCCACTGATATTATACCCTGAACAGTGATAGAGAAGGATACTTCTATAACTTAATAGTGTGTCACATTCCATTTCGTGATGAAAGTACACTTATGTCCGAAAACGAATCTTCAGACAAGGTTTTCTTCGACAGCAACCACGAGTTGAAACCTATGTTGGGTAACGCAACCGTCGAACAATTTACTCACGCAGAGCAAATTATTGAAGCGGGCGCTCGCCCAGGCTGTAGTTTTGAATGTTGTACATGAAGAAGAAACTAATGAACATTTAAAAGATCCAGTCGGAATCATGCCGACGAAACAATATATTATGATCAAGGTGATTTATATGAAGATCAACAGCAAAGAAACAATTGCAATGCCAGAAGACGTGTTCCTTAATAGTATTCGAAGTCTTAATATTCAACAGAAAGGCTTATTAAAATCAGTTTCCGCAGTAATTGAGAAAGATATTAAACAAAATGATGATGATGAAAATACCGACAAATGTTGCTTTTTATTACCGGAGGAGCTGGTAGCGGTAAGTCGTTTATTTTAAAATTACTTGTTGAACATGTTAAACGCTGCTATAATCCTACAATTGATACGATGATAAAACCAACTTTCATTGAAGCAGCTTCTTTGACTGGCGTCGCCGCCCGTCAAATATTCGGAAAAACTTTGCATTCCTTGTTCTCGTTACCTATTGAAAAAGGTACTGCAATAGACCTATCAACGACTGACAGGACAGGAGAGAGGCGGACTGAACAGGAGAGACGAAAGTGGCGTCATACAAGGGTGGTTGATTATCGACGAGATATCAATGGTATCTTATGAGAATTTGCGATAATTCATTTAAGATTGCAAGAAATCAAAACAAATGATAAACTATTTGGTGGCGTAAATGTACTTCCCTTTGGCGATATCATGCAGTTGCCCCCAGCAAAAGGACACTGGTGTTTTGTACAGCCACATTGGTGTACTGCAGAAATTAATTATGGCATCAATTTCATTCTGCGAACTCACCATTAATATGCGACAAAGAGATGACGTTGAGTTCATCGATTTATTGAATAACCTTCGGTTAGGGGAAGTGACAACTTCTCAACTGAAATATTATGCGAACGAAGAAGAGTTCCTCTAACCGGAGAGTTCGAGGATGGTGCAGCAGTAAGAATATTCCCAACGATAAAATTAGTGGATGAATATAATTCAAAAATGACTTGATGAATTAGCAAAATCACATCGAATGTACGTCATTGATGCAATAGACGAATCCCGTGAGGCAGCTACATATGGAAAAAGGCCACCAGAAAATGTCATACCTGCAAATGTAAATAATTGTGGCGGACTGTTACATACAATAACATTAACTGAAGGATCGCGAATCATGCTGCGACGAAATATATCAATTTCTGATGGTTTGATAAACGGCGCCAATGGGAATAGTGAAGAAATTTACATGGCCGGCACTGCGAAGAGATCAACTAGAACAGGGAGAGTTGCCGGGCGCAGTACTTATAAAATTTGATGACGAGTCCATTAGAAATAGATTTAAAGATATCGACGGTTACATCCCAATATCTCCAGTTGTAGCAACGTTTCAGGCGACGAAAGTTTATGGGGACGTCGAGCACAGAATGTTCCACTTATTCTAAGTTGGACAGTAACGGTGCATAAATTACAAGGGACCACATTAAACAAAGCTGTAATTGATCTTGCAAAGAGAGTTTTGCAAAAGACCAAGTTTACGTCGCTCTTAGTCGTGTCAAATGTTTAGATGGTTTAGCTCTATCTGATTTAGCACCAAACAAAGTCCTCGTTAAACCGCATGACGAAAGAGCACTCGCAGAAATGCAAAGATTACGACAGTTACTTTTGCAAAGAAACAGTCCAAATTAGCTTCCAGTGACTGATACGTGAAGAAGGAAGCCAACCCTTCTTTTAGCGACCAACTGGTAGAGAAAATGACGAAGACTTTTTTTTTTTCATTTCACGGATAATGTTGAAAAGTCACAATCGGTATATTCCCTGTAGAGTAAACGCCGAAAAGAATATAAATAAATGAAGCCGTACGTTTTCTTGCAATAAAAATTGGCAGGAATGAAAAAATGCAAAATGTTTTTTGAACCGAACCAATCGGGAGACATACTTTACAAGATGCAAAAGGTTTCGTTCCGATTGGGCCATCCGTCTCGGAGTAATCGGCGAATATACATTTAGAAAAAAAAATTATTAGGAATGAAAAAATGCAAAATATTTTTTTTATGGGACTATTAGGGAGTTATACTATATAAGTCGCAAAAAGTTTCGTTCCGATTGATCCATCTGTCTCTACGTAACCGACGAACGTATATCGCACGTACATGAAATAGTACGTTTTTTTGCAATAAAAGCGTTCGGAATGAAAAAATGCAAAATTTTTTTTTAACGCGACCAATCAGGAGACATACTCTACCAGATGCAAAAGGTTTCGATCCGATTGGTCCATCCGTCTCGGCGTAATCGGTGAACATACATAAAAATATATATATATATATATATATGCACATCGAATTGAGTATCCTCCTCCTTTTCGAAGTTGGATAAAAATAATACGGACGGACGTTAAAATTGAACCAGGACGAAATGGGTCGTCTTGCGAGCTGCTTCGCTTTGAAATTGTTAAAAATTGATAAAAGGAATACGACGAACCTGCAGTCCACAAAAATGTTTGAAGCAAAAAGGAAATAACACGAAAATTATGGAAACGCCCGTGTCTCAATTTTTTTCCCTCTTGTGCTTGTTTCATCGAACGATAAATACAACAAACGAAGAAAGGATTTCTTTCACTCTGATCTCGGTGCGTACCGCCGTGGCGTCTCTGTCCTGTGATGCGAGCGCTTCCAAGGGATTTTGCGTTCGGGAATATGTACATTACGCATCGCGACATTTGGGAAGATCGTTTGCGAGAGTGCCGCGGAAAAAATGTACGATAAATGTACGATAAATGTACGATACTTATCCTCGTTGCCGTCTCTCCTCATCGTACCAAAGTCCGACACATCGAACGATCGGTGTATGTTCCCGCCTGCCCATGTAGAATTGTGCGACTGTTTATATCAGGAAAGTTAAAGAAGGGAAACCTCCGTGGTGGTGGCCATACATACACATGGTTAAAAATGAGAAAAAGAAAGCGGATCAGAGAAAATTCAACTTCGTTTGTGTGAAACCAAAAGAGCACACTTTGAAACGAGAGAGGAAAAATTGAATACGCGAAAGGTTGATTCACGCACAGATTCTCCACGTGTTTGCTTTTGCTTCTTTTCGTTTATTTTTTTTTTTTTTGCATCGAGCATCATTCACCTTTCGATGAAACCAAAGAAATCGGCGACCTCAGAGTAGGCGAGATTACCCGCTGAATTTAAGCATCATCATATTATAACGCAGAAATATGTCCGTGAGTTACGCTGAGACGTTGTACGCATGCTCGAAAACAAGGCAGGAAATTATTATATGTGTACTCTTACAATGATAGTACAGTAAAACCCTTATTAAGGGACATTTTTTAAGGGTTACATAAAAACTAATTACGTCATCATTGTGGGTACTTCGACTACTTTTTCTTTGAATACTTTCTTTGTAATAATTTACTACGCACGTCTATCTCTTACGATTTACGACTGCACAGGGTGTCAAGGTGTTCATGAGATAATCGCGGATCCTGGGCAACAAATTTTCGAACAAATCAAAATTACTCCAATTTAAAAACTAATTACGTCATCATTAAGAGTGCCTCATTTGACTTATCTGGGTTAAGCCTCTTTGTGAAAAATCTACTGCGCATGTCTATCTCTTACGGTTTACTACTGCACAGGGGTGAAAGATTCCATAAGATAATAGCGGATCCCGCGCAACAAATTTTCCAACAAATCGAATTGATCCATTTTTACAACACAATGTAGTTTACAACGAAGTTTTTAAGGGCAGAGACTCCTTCGAGGCCTCCTCCGAATCGATGTAAGCGCCATTGGAAAGAATCGGGCAATCGTGGAAACACATAATTGAGAAATTCGACATTTGACGGTGCGACATCTAACGTCATTATACAGAATAAGAAACGAAAGTGAGGTGGCGTAGTTGTCGAATCACATCATTTTAGAGATTCTTTCGCGGTGTTGCCACATCTGTGACAATCCTGACCATCTAGCAAAATGAATTCGCTCGAGCCGAGCGAGATTTTGATTCCAGGCGGACATAGAAAAGGACAGCGCGATAGAAACAGAAGGAGCATCATGAATGAGACAACGTAGGGCCGATCGGCGGAAATGTTTATGTTCAAGTCACACACTACGACAGATTCGATGAGACTCTGTAATATACATAACATACGCGACTATAAAACTTATACGAATAAAAAGTACATGGCATTAATAATTTCAGAAAAGGAATGAACAGTAAAGACATGTAAATTGATCAACATATACAATATTTATTCATTGAAATATAATAATTTCAGAATAGGACAGAAAAATAAAGACATGTAAATTAATCTATATATACAATATTTATTCATTCAAATGTAATCAATGAATATAAACAATGATTGGCCACTCGTCACCCGCCGTCCGCTTCGGCCTCTTCCTTCTCCGCGGCGTCTGCATCATCGGAAATTGTTTTTATCTGAAATACAATAATGAATGTTTTATAAGAAGAAAAAACAATCGTAGGAATTCAGTGGCTACTGTTGTAGACATAATTTCCATTTCACGAAAAATCTAATTCCGCCACATTTATTACATAGAAGAATCAACGCTTTTACTTACTTGCGACGTTGACGGCCTCAGATTCTCCTTTCTCTTCCCTCTTATCCGACTTCGTTCCTTAGACCTCTTTCTCCTGTTTCTTCTATCCTCTTTCTTTTTCATTTCCTCCTTCTTTTCTTCCTTTTCTTCCTTGTCCATCTGTGAAGAAAATAATTTATGTATAGATAACGTAATATTAATTATGTAAGATTATACTTGCAGATTATACATGATTAGGCAGCATATTTGCAGTCCATTTGTCCTGGTAACGCTGTCTTCAATATACCTATATATAATTTTTTAATTTTTTTCGAGAAGAGGAAAATGCTGTGTTTAATTTCTCAACGATAAAAATGTTCATGCAAAGATGAACGAAGATGAATGAAGATAAATATTGCAAAAAGGAAAAGTTAATGGAAAAAGATGATTAAATAAATTCATTGTAACGTTTTTTGTCGGATTTTGCTAAATTTAGATATGTTGTATTTTTTACTGATATATAAACGTATCTCGAATAAGTCGAAGGTACTTTGGAATATTTTGTATAATTATAGGAATGAAAACTACAGGACATGAATAATTTGAAGAATGGAATAAGAAAAAAATTATTTCAGTCGAAAAAATAAGTTTTGAGTTCTACACTCGCTTCCATCCAAAAAACCTCTTCTCGGGAATCCTTTCTTCGAAAATCTGTAACAAATTTTTTAAACAAAACAAAGAAATATAGTATGGCGTCGCGTAACTCACGAGATCGTATGATCCGCGAGTACAATTGCTATTTCGTGCAATTGTGAACCACCAACAGAGTCAGTGGTACTGCACTTTGCAGTGCAGTGCGACGCCGGACAGTAACAGTATTTTTTATTACTGTCCGCATAAGACCTTTTTTGAATTTTCATAGGTCACTATTTTAAAATGTGTATACCGGCGTCGAACAACTCACGAGATCGTATGATCCGCGAGTACAATTGCTATTTCGTGCAATTGTGAACCACCAACAGAGTCAGTGGTACTGCACTTTACAGTACAGTGCGACGCCGGACAGTAGTAATATTCCTGCTACTTTCTGAGAGAGACCTTTTGCGCTTTTCTAAGCTTGCTCTCTCCTCTGTTATAAATTGAGGCTCCCGAATGGGCATTCCCCTATTGTACCGGCTATCTATTAATTCCGGTAACATGCACAATAAATAAAATTGAATTAATTTTGGCTCCATATTCTTTTGCCAAAAGTTATCGTCTCTATTGACTCTAATGTACTTTAACCCTTTTCGGGTCCAAATACAAAATAAGCAATATTTTCTACCTGTGATATGTAATTGTCCTTGTACTTGGTAGTAATAGTAGTGGTTCCTGTTCAATGCATTTCCTTCTGCGTCTGCAAATATACGCCGAATAACTGCAACAGTTTTGATTGCCTCCTCCGGCAATAAATTCTCCGCCGTTTTCGGACATTTGATTTCCACAATGCCCTCTTCGTCTATAAGTCCATCTGGCGAAGCTCCTAAGAACGGGACGGCACTATCAATAAATAATCCACATTCTTTAATTTCCACACCAATGCACACACTTAGTTCTTCACGTGCGAATTTTTCGCATTCCTGTCCGTATTGTACTGCAGGTGCACTAATCAGTCGTGGATACACTAACGACTTCACTGAATTTCCACAGAGCGTGCCAATTCGACGACGGCATATTCGTCCGAAATTAGACGCCGTCAATAATTTAGATTTGTAATTCAACCATCTCGGATTTTTCGCTTGACCGATGGTTTCTTCTTCAATGGCATCTCTTCTATTTTGCCAATTCTGTAACATTTCCATATGTTTTTTTTGCTCTAATTCATAAATATTGCTAGCCATATCCGGCTTTTCAGCGTTTGGTCCGTAATTGGAATCCTTTTCAGAACGGAATTGTTTCCGCGCGTGCTTTGTAATTTTTTTTTCCTTTCTCTTTTCACTGTATTTCTCATTTTTTTTCTTCCTTGTATTTTCTATTTTGCGTAAAATAGCGGGCGGTTTCTTGTTCATCGCCGTATTCAGACGCGACAACACTTGTTTTGTGTTATACTGTAGGACAGCAGCAGCACATCTTCCCGTGTAAGATCCCCTCTCGCCGAAATTCAATCTTTTTCCTCCTATATATTTTGCGATGATTCCGTTGAAACTTTCGACGGCATTATTGTTGCTGTTATACAGCAAACTCTCAGCATGCGCCAACAGAGGTCGAAGTATTTGTTTAATGTGTTCGTACACTCCCATCTTCAGCAATTCGGGAACAATGTTCTTTTCATCTTTTTTACTCGTTCCATCGCAGAAGTATTGTAGTTTTGAACAATCTGCGTGTTCACCAAAAACATGGCTAGGAACATTGTGTATGTCGGCATACAAATTCTTAATTTTTTCAGCGGTTGTTACTTGCTGACTGTATCTGTACTCTGCTGCTTTTACTATGTCCGCACGCATTCGCCGAACGCTGCTTTCAACGATTCTTCTGAATGGACCAGGTGTTGTCATCTTTACAACTTCTTTCATTTTTCTGCAAAAGTTTCGCAATAAATGATTCGTGCATTCAATTTTTTTTACACGAATCTGTGCTTTATATGGATCTGCATCTATAATTTTTTTATAAACACTGCTATCCCCATCAGCAATCAGTGTTGAATAAATCAGCCCACGTTTTTCTACGCTGGTCTTGAAACCTTCAACTATAGCGTCACTTTCCATAGCCGTTGATGCTTGGCTTGCGCTCCAATTTTTAAAACAGGTGTGCTTTCGTGGCTCTTCTTTCTTTTTCGCAGCACATCGACAAATCCTGCACACCTTGTTTCTCACACCGATAAATAAAACTTTCTTCGTGTGATATCCAATTATAACGCCGACTCCAGACGCGGAATCGTACGTTCCAGTCCGGTATGATCGTTTCATCCAGCTTCCATCGGCCACAACGGGGATGTGAGGGATTCCACATCCGGAAACAATATCGCCTCTTTCAATGGCCAAGCGTTTTTCTTCCTCTGCCGCTGTTACCATCTCTTCTTCTGCAGCAACAATTAATGTTTTCACTATTTTATCGTGATGTTTTCTAAACTCTTTCTTCGACATGGAGGGTATGTTCATCGCTGCAAGGAACTCTTCCATTTGGGCATAACTGCCTCCATTCACAATTGTTCCAGCAACGGCACACTGGTTTGTTTCCATGTGATTGCTTTCGTCAGGTTCACTGTGGATTTCACCTGTATATTTGCACATATCGCATATTACACTGAGAGTGGTCCTCAGACCCGACCGTTTCATGCCGGTTATTTTCAGGTGTCTAATTCCACAGTCTTCCCTGTTTTTAGCATGGTCACCTATTTTTTGAAATTCGGCAAAGATGTGCTGCATGTCCACGATACTCAAGCCACTGGGTAGACAGAATTGTTCTTCAGGCTCGTTCGTTACAGTTTTCTCTATGATCAATTCTTCATTTTCGGAAGTTGTTCCTTCTATATTTAATCCATCTTCTGTATTGTCCGTTTCTTCAATTTCAAACAATTCTTCCGTCGTTTCTTCTAACATTTCTGTACAATTTGTCGGTTCTATTTCTTCATCCAATGGCAAGTAAATTTTCTCGGGAGTGTATGTTTGTCCATCGGATGTTGACGGCTCGGAAATATTCTGAAGGGCTAAACGCCGTCTTCTTTCGCGACATGCTCTTTTTTTTGAATATCTTTTCGTACTAATTGGTAATTTTGGCCGACGACTTTTATTTTTTATTAAACACTGATCTTCATACTGATTTCTTATATCTTCAACCATGACAATATTTTCACTATCACTCATTGTCACTATCCCACAACAATATTCACCTCTCACTTCACTTCACACTTTCAAAGCTTTGAAATAAATTCTATGATGTAATCTATTCCTTGCTTCGAATGCAACTATCGTGAAAACTGTCGCGAAGACGTAAAACACAGTACCGAGAAACAGAGGGTACCGCGGTGGGGAGTGTTTCTAAGGACTACGAAAAAAAAAGAACAATGACGTCGATATTTATTATAAAAAAAAAGTTTTGAGGTTGGATTCATTTATAAGATTATAATTGCAGATTGTAAGGAAAAAATATAACATGAAAATAAAAATTCAATCTGTAAAATTAGAAATTAGAAAAGGGTCTATGTTATAAGTCAGTGACCACGGTCCTGATCCCCACCACCATGCCATGCGAGTGCTTTCAGCATCCATGACAAAAGACAGTCGAGCTTCAACATGGCTGAAGACAAGGTGCGTATAATCGGCAAGCAGAATGTTTCATAATATTACGTTCTTTACACAGATATTACTTTCATTACAGATGGATGTAGATAAACAAATCGAAGAAAAGAAAGAAGAAAGAGAAAAGAAAGTAGAAGTTGAGGAGAAAGAAGCAGAAAACAAACAAGAGAACACAAAGAAGGAAGAAGTGCCGAAGCGACAGGAGGAACAATTATCAGCATCAGAAGTAAAAACGTAATTTTTCTATGTAATACATGTCGCACAATTACATTCACGTGAAACGGAAATCATTTCTACAATAGTAGCAAATGAATTTCCACGATTATTTTTTGTTTTTTAATAATGTCACAATTGTAATAAAATTTATTATATTTCAGATTTAAAAAATGGTAAAAAAAATGATATATGGAGGACGCCGTGGCGGCCGCCACGGAGGAAGAGGTGGGCGATGGGGCGGCCGTCGTGGCGGGAGAGGAGGACGCCGGGGCGGCGGAAGAGGCGGCAATCGCCCTGTGATTTTTAATATTTTTTAATAAATATTTTATATTTTTAATTATTTAATTTATTGCTATAATAAACAATGTAAATTATTACATATCTGCTTATTTCTTTTTCCCTTTGTACCGAATCTTCGGCGAATGTTCGCGATGAACCCGCGGGCGAGAATATTCGCGAAAGTCAAAAGCGATGTTCCGTGCGACAAAACACAGTCCGTCTCGCCAAGCCATCGGTATCGTCAGCTTGTTTTCTCACTCGCACTTGCACGCATTACGCCGTCCGCGCGATCAGCTGTCACCGGCCAACATCGGCCGCTGATTCTTTGTTCTGTATTTATAGACGCGTTTGGGGTTGGTATAACTGTAATGTATAAGTGTACTGTAAGAGTTAGTCAATAAATTAGTTTCAAGTGAAACTGTTGACATTATTAATGTCCTGTAGTTTTCATTATACGTTATGTGTATTATTTCGTTCTTGCTGTCTCTCTTTCGTTCGCGCTGTTCTTTTGTATGCCCGGCAGGAATCAAAATCTCGTCAGTAAATGATAGATACATAAATAGGAATACAAACAGCACATTTATATCGCCTTCTATGTCTTTTCGCATATAGAATATGCTAAATATTAAAAAATGTACAAGTTGTATAATTCATTTATCTGGCATATCTCTGTAATTTCATTGATAAAAAAAGATGATTATACATATGAATAAAAAAGATTTATGGTTGCACACATTAATATATGTATTGTTTTATTCTCGGACTTCTTTCTCGGCTCGAGCCGATTCATTGTGTTGATGGTTACAATTGTAACAGGTGTGAACAGCGTGACAGAAGTCTAATACGTTGCGGCAACTATGCCTTACTTGTGGCTATATTCACGTAGCCGTTTGTGATGGTAAATTAGAATTTACATTTATCGACTAATTTCTGCTTTTATCGACCCTGATGATAACGTGGTCAAATATACCATCAATGCCTCTGACGGAAAATCAGTGAACTATTCTTCCGTCTATTTGACGTCTGATGCGTGCAAATCGTAAATTTCGTTTTACGTCTTCCAGAAGTGATAAATTGTGAAAAGTCGAATTTCAGTGACATTGTGCTAGTTCAAGGAAGGGTGGTCTGGTGTGCTATGGGTGAAAAAACCATTAAATCGTCCAATATTTGCTAAAATGCAGCCGAACGCAGCATTCGGCAGCCATGTTGTTTGCCTACAACATCGTCTGTCTCAATCTTACAGTGTCGAAAATATCATTTTTCTCAACGTATGGTGTTTATTAGCGTTCAAACGGACCAGACCACCCTGTGGTGAAGTCCACCCGTGGGTGCTGTACCCGCGAAAATTTCATTTGTGCAATTATCGAGACGAAAAACGAAATCTACGAAATCGAGTGTCTCTCTCACGCATGGCATATACATGCATGCTTTCCGTTGATTGTGTGAGCGCACGCATACAGGTCATGGCAGAAGGAGTCTGTGCCCTTAACACGTCTTGTCACGATCGTTTCCAAGCGGCCCCCTATTATCATTACTATTATTATTATTAAACTTATGATCAGAACAAATTATAACATTTTTCCCTATTCCTAATTAATTTACAAACTTTTTTTTACTTAATTTTTATATTTATATTTTATTATTCTATCTAATAAAATTTAATTTTTCAATTTACCATTATTATTCAACAAGATCTTTTGCTTTTTGACTATGTTATATAATTATGTATGTAGAATAATTTGACATGCACAATCACTGTATTTTATTTGTGTTTTATTGTTTATATATGCTCCGTTGCGGGTGGATGATTTTCGCTGCGAGTGCCTCTACATTGACGATTTCCTTTAGCAGGATAAACTAACCTTAGACATTCGATTTATAAGAATTCGGAGTACAATCACAGTATAGGAAATAACAGTAGGATCACTCTGCCAAAAAGCGTACCAATAATTGTCGCTCGCGCATGACCGAATCGCACAACCAGTGAATATATATGATTGTAGCGGTGTTGTTGAGTTGGCAGCACTGCTCCCCGCTCGGTATGTTGGTGTTGCCGGCACTGCCGCTATGATTGGAACGAAGAACTAACGTAAAAAGGAGTCAATAAAGAAGCCTGTATATAATAATTGTATTGTACAGATATTTCAATAAAATGTGTATTTTAATTAAATGTAGATATTTAATAGTCTTTTTATGGTATTCTATTACGAAATCTCTTTTTGATTGTACCGAGTGCTTTTCAAATTAGAGCCCGCGCACAACCAGCAATATGGCGATCTATTGGTCATGAGATCAAAGGTGCCGCACGGAGTGAGCCTACTGTTCTTTCCTATACTGTGGTACAATATCGGGACATATTAGAAAAAAAATAACTTTAGACATTCGATTTGTAAGAATATTCTTCCCTTGGTTATGTTAGATTACAAAAAATGTATATATAACATTTGCCTGAAGGACTTAGGTCATTCATATATTTCATAGGTCATGTGTACAGTATCGTATTTTATATTTTATCTGTTACGTACATAATATAGTTATCGTAGCATCCGTGTTATTTAGGTGTATGTGAAAAGTGACGTAGCATAGCATGCCGTCAGTTGGATGCGATAACTGAGGTGGCGCTGAAATCAGCTTCTGTTCGGCCTAATTTTCGATGAAACGTTGACTGTTTTACCAACGCGGAATTCGGAGTTCGGCCTCGACGCTCGCATTGCCTTAAGGTGATGCGAGCATCGAAAACTTTACCGACAGTCCCTAGAAAAATCCCTAGACGCGAGTTTTCGAATTACGTCGTCATTTCTAAACAGAATGCAAAAAAATTTGAGGGACGTGTTCAGAAGGCCCTAAAGAATAGCGCTGTATCTGTTGCGTGAACGCGCGTACAAAGGGTCCCCTCGTCACGCGGGGCCCGTACGGGAGGTGCTGCCGCCACGCTTTCTTTTTCGGGAACTAATTTTCGGGAAGGAGCGGCGCGTGTTGCGTAGTCATATTGCTTCTTGTAACCGACACGTGAACATTGAGCTCCGCACGGTTTTCAATTATTGTATCGGTTTATCAAGTTAGTGTGCGCTTAATTGAACTCTTATCGGCTATCCTCGACTCCTCGCGTTGATTTCAAGACGGTCACCTAAATCAAATCGGTTCGTGCGCGATTTCGGGACATTACCGGGTTTCGCGACGACGCCACGTGGTCGTAACCGGCTAACGGGCACCTCGTGTACCTTCATCGGACTCTGCTAGACGGGGACCGAACTAAGGAACCCCTTTCTGTGAGTGGAGTGAACCTCGAGGATAGACCGTGGACGCTAGTTTTTTGTGTGTACTCTTTTGAACCGCGCGATCCGATTCGCATCGGTGTACCGGTCTTCCTCACTTTGTGTCACCTCAATCGTCTCAATTTGTTTTAATAAACTGACCATCGGTTTTGACTACCTCGTGCATTTTTTTTGGTGTAATTTTGTGTGTCAAGACCCCCCCCCCCCCTGGTTTTCCTCGCTCCCCTCTAAACGGTATTTGTCCACAGTCAAGAAAATGGCGGATCGGACTCACCTGCATTAATTTATTCGTAATATAAACATTTTTGCGAAACGAATATCTAAATAGAGACCGGAGCGCCATTCTTTGGGTCAGATAGAGCAAAACGAGCACTTAGGGGATGGTGCAAAAGCTTTCGTTTAGACAAAAAGTGAAAACTACGATTTCGTTGATTTTTTACTCGCGAAAGACGTCAAAAAGGTGAAACAGACCACAAATTTAGTTCCTCGTTTTTTCTGTAGGGCGCAGTTTAATCGTTTTCTGTGCTCGACCGCGCGCTCATTCGCAGCTCGTATATGTGAATATGTGTGCGTCAATCGAACCGTCGACGACGATACAATGTATCGTGGCGAATGGAAAGTTTGAGTCTGGAAGAGGCGATGAACTTCGACGCGTAAATTTTTTTTCACGCTTCGTTCTATCGACTAGGATAGCGATTTTCGACCCATGTGTCACAAGACGTACTATCATTATTTTTTGTTGCTATTATTATTCTTTTTTTAGTGAAACTGAAGAACAAATACATACGTCCTTCCCGATTTCGATGATTTGTTGACATGTTATAAAAATTGATATTCTGAACAATTTGGTGAAATACTGATTACTTATGAAAAGTACCCCGAAAATAAATCTGTTGCCAGAATTATTAAAATTTTTTTAGACAGATCAGTTAGTATGTTTTATCAGCATAGAATGTGATACTATGTTGGACTCTCCTGATTTTGCGTTAGGCCCAAATATTGGATGAATAGGTAACAAAAATGTGATGCTGGAAATACAACACGGCTGGAGCGTGTTCTTCAATGCTGGCGAACATAGAAAAGGACAAATAGCGAAAGAGAAAGAGGTCCGAGAATTAAAGGGCACGAGAAAAAACATTTGATTGAAACAATATTAATTCAACAATAACTTTTTTATTTTTCATTTTTGCTAAATGAAACTTTTACCAATGTAATTGTAAGGTTCTATTGATTAAGATAAGATCAAACACCATATAATTTGCATTATTTTTACTTATTTAGATATAAATAAGTAAATAAATAATTATAATTCAAATTATGTCATGTTTGATCTTGTTTTAATCAGAAAAATCTCATAAATACGTTAGTAACATCGTCATTAAAAAAAATTCAAAAATAAAAAGGTTTTAATCTTAAATTTTTATTGTGTTAGTATTGTCTCACACGTACACGGATATTTAAACTTGCTTTTTTCCTTGTACATACGCTGCTTCGATTCTCGGCAGTCACCACATCAAAGGCGAGCCGGACTCGCTCGAGAAACTGTGGTTTCTCCGGCGACACGCAAAAATTGGTCTGATTCATCGTACATAATACATATACAGTAAAAGCTGGATATATGCAACAAACATTGGGACCCAGGCGTTGCATATATCCAGTCGAGGTGTTGAATCTCGGGTTACACGCGACGAGAAGCCAAGCGTGAACGTAGAAAAGGACAGACAGTGGCAGAAAGAGAGAGGTCCGATGATCAAAGGAAAGAGCCGAATCGTATCGGTGTGACTAATGCTAATTGAATCAAAAAACTTTTT